GTTAGTTTGGTCCTGTCTCCACAGCTGCATGCAGTGCCTTTCTGCATTTTCATAATCACCTGCCTGGTATTCGCGATGGGCCAGTTCACAAAAGGCCTTATAAGAAAAGGAGTTAGTAGAAATAAAAAGCTCATGATCAGTCAGTTTAGATTGTATGTCTACCGCCTGTATACCGGATATTTGGTAATTTCGGAAACAGGTAAGAGATACGAAGAGATGCAAAGTTGGGCATTCAAGTAGCTAACAAAATGGAACTTGGAAAGTTTCGAAATTTAAGGTACTTCCGGAAAGAGACTAAAAAAACCGATTTTTCACAAGATCGCTTTAATTTTTCATGACTTTGTCGAGGGATTTCAAAATAAATTGAACATTAACATTGCCACTTTTTCTCCTTACAGAAGGCATAATTAGAATCTTAATATCACATTATTTAATCTCTTGTCCTCCAGCATCAAACTTATTTCCCTTATGGCCGCCAGTTTATTTCCATTCTTCTCAGTCTTCAAACTATGTTACTATGTTAAATTTGAGGTCTAGTCTGGTATACAGGTATATGAAACAAATGACTATCTACTGAGGTTTATCATATTATACCTTTTTGGAATCAGAATTATAAACTCTATTCATCAGTGTAGAAAAGTAATATAACTATTAGAAAAAATGAAGTTGATGCTGGAGGACAAAATATGAAACATCATATACATACAATAAATCAAGTGGTGCCGCAGGGTTCGATACTGGGACCGCTATTATTCACGCTATATACTAGTCAGCTCTCCAAATCCCTTGAATACTGTAAGCCTCACATGTATGCAGATGATACTCAAGTGTGCCTTTCATTCCTTGGTGATGATTGGCCAATGAATGGCGGAGTTTAAAATTAATGCTGATCTTGACGCTCTATTTAAAACTTCTAATGATCATTCAATGTCACTGAATCAAAAAAATCAGCAGCAATAATTTTGGGAAAGATTGGTCAGAGATAATGAACAATATGACGCTACATATAGATAATGTTCTAATACCGTTCTGCGATTCTGTTAAAAATTTGGGTCTCATAATAGATTTTAAGCTCAGATTTAAAGAGCATATTTCAAAATGTATACAAAGAGCGTATTATGCACTCAAGCTGCTTTACCCTCATAGACACTTTCTTAGCAGAGACATCAAACGAATGCTATGCGAAACGTTGGTTTTGTCCCAGTTTTCGTATGGTGCTCCTGTCTATTATCCATGCTTGGATGCTGATACGATATCTAGAATTCAGCGTGTTCAAAATTCATGTATAAGGTACATTTTCGGTATAAGGAAATAAGACAGAGTTAGTCATAAGCTGAAGGATTTACAGTGGTTGAACATGAAACAGGGTTCAGAACTATTAACACTATGTTTCTACCATAATATTTTGTCAAGCAAGTCACTGCCATATTTGTATGAAAAAGTCATGTTTAGAGAAAGTCTTCATTCTGTCAATGTTCGTTTGAAACAGAATATTTCTGCTCCATTCCATCAAACATGTTTTTTCGAACGTGGCTTCTCTCACAACATCTATAAATTATACAACTCCATCCCCCAGCAAATCAAAAATATGAAAGGTTGCAAATTCAAGGCAGCTCTGAGACGATTCCTTTAAGATAAGTATAATTAACTTCACTGATAATACTGTAACATTTAGCTTTTTTGGATGAATCTCATGATTATATGATGGAATATTTTCAGTTTTATATTTTCAGTGTTATTTGTTTTTTGTACTCATGCTTTTTTTTTTCTGCTCTCATATAGTTAGTAGTAGTCATGTATTGATCGACCAGCCAAAGATTGCTAGGGACGAAAGGGGGAAATGCGATGAAAAAACCTTACCATTAGACGATTTTATATGGAGTCATAGGCGGAGATCGGAGAGACTTGAATTATTAATTGAATTTATATTTATTACAACTGGTAGTATTAATATTTTTTTGCGATTCATAATGACGTGATACCAAACATACATTATAAGAAATAAATATACACAAACACTGAATATTGAGAACAAAATAAATATATTTTTTAGGCAACAAGTAATATTCCTATGTACGCATTATGATTGAACAGCAAAACAAATTATGCATTCTTCTAAAATAGAATACAACAAGTCAAAAATATCTGACTGAATAGAAAAATATAGGAAAACAAAAAGTAATTTCTTGATGAAATAACCCATAAACAACACATAGAATTAGACTTTCTACTGAGATACTAAAAGCCACAAACCAATAGTATAATAAATGAATATCTAAAAATTCTAAAAGGTAGCCAATCTAGTATAGTTTCAATCCTGATTAGAGTCATGATCACTGTCTGAGGAACTGTCATTGCTATCACTTTCACCTCCTATGTTGATTATTATTTCTTCCTGTATTTCTTGAATGAGACTGTCTTTTTCCCAATATTCATCTTCAATTTTATAACATGTCCAATAACCTTTTGCCAGTCACTGGCACTTACTGAAGCGATGGCCTTATTAGAAATTTCATCTAGTTTTTTTATAGTAAATTCGCCGCTTGTATTATGGCTTCTAATGAAAAATTTTACTTGTGCCCAAATCATCTCTATGGGATTAAACTGACACATATAGGGTGGCGTTCGAAGTGGGGTGTGTCCGAAACTTCTTATTAAATTATCTATCTTATAATTTTTCTCATCAGATGGTGGCCTATGTAGACCAGCTATTTCATAAAGCTCCATTTTTTTAGCATTAGGATCATGCTCTATACCTTTTTTGCTCAACCACGTGATGATGTCTCTTTTTAGAGAAGATCTAGTTGGAGGCTTGTCTTCCAAAGCTGAATGGTAAGGTGCATTATCCATTATTATAATACTATTAGGAGGAATGTTAGGAAATAGTTTTTCAGTAAGCCACTTCGTGAAATTTTCTTGGTTCATTTGACCGTGATAATCACCAGTGGCACAGCCAGCCTTGAAAATGAGACAGGCTCCAGGAACAAAACCATCTTGCGAACCCGCATGAACAATTATAAGTCGTCCTGGAAATGAATAAATAGCCTCATTTTAGTGTTATTTTAAGTTTGCCAACACCTTTTTGAATCACTATGTATAAAAAACATATTTTTGAGAAAAAAATACTTGCAAGGGATTATGTATTCAATTAGACAAATTAAATGAGCACTTATTAAGAATATTCCAAAATTGAGAAAAATGTATAATAAGCAAAATCGAGGTGAAAGAAACTTTATTACCTGTAGAACTTATATTGCTCAGGACACCCATAATTTCTTCGCTTTGCCAGCATTTCTTGAAAGTGAGGTCATTATCAACCCAAGTTTCGTCCAAATAAATAATATGCCTTCCTTCTTCCCGGAACTTTTTAATAGACCTAAGATACTTGTATCGCCAATGTAAAATACTGGGTCTTTCCATTAGTAATTTCCTTTTGTTGTGGCATTTACGCCAGTAAAATCCTTTTGCTTTTAAAAGCAGCCTCAACGATTCTTTACCAAATGGAAATTCCATTTCTTCCTTCAGTTTGATTAGAAGTTTACTACAAGTAGGTACCACTTTAAAATCACAGTAAAATTTTTCTATCATTCTCCGAATAATGGAAAAATCGACTCCATCAATTTTTTGGATCACAGAAGGGCGTGATCTCTTTTTCCGGGAGAAGCTAAAGGCTGTGTGGAGGTTGCATTTTGCCTGTCTTTATCTTCTTTTCTAATTTTACTTATAGTTCGTTCACTAACACCCGTATAATATGCCGCCCTTGCATTTCTAGCTACCAGTGGATAAACGAAAGTATTGTTAGCCGCTTCTGCATCGCAAGCACGTATCACGTTTGCTATTATTTCCCTTGCCTGGCTGTGAATAACTTTCCCATGCTTGAATTCCATTATCACCACTAAACAGTAAATTATATTTTCAAAGTATTTGCCAACTGCCTACGCCTATGGGAGTAGGTTTATAAATGACCGTGCCATCGGCACGTTATTCTAGTTTCAGATAAGATAAGAGTTTTGGACCAATCAGCGACCGGATGTTTACCTGCGGCCTGGGTTTTCCAGCTACATTGCCAAATTCAGCGGAACAATTCTATATCTTAAATATGTTAATATGTATGGACCGCATTTTATGTAGAACATCTGACAACTTCGCAATTTTTTGTCCGCATTCTTTCGGCTTGCAATCTTTCGCTGGTCCAACATTAACAGTTGATATCACTATTTTAAAATAGAGCAAGGGATGAGTGGAAGAGCATGCAGGTCGATAACTCCTCCTTGAGATTCGAGAGCAATTATTCCCTTTTGTTGAACACTATTTTTGTATGCATTGTCTCTTCGAATAAAGCCATTTATTATTATTATTATTAT